AGCAGCGAGGTGTCTGGCGGCGGCATCCCCAGCAGCAGCTCCCTGCAGAGGAAGAAGCTCATCTCTATCTGCGACCACTGCAAGATCAAGATGCAACTGGTGGCTGATCTGCTTTTGCTGTCGAGCGAGACCAGGCCGGTGAACACTGAGAGCCTGTCAGTCTTCGGTGAGTCCTTCGAGAAGTGCAGGGACACGATCATTGCCAGGACCAAAGGACTCTCCATCTTGACCCATGACGTCCAGAGCCAGCTCAATATGGGACGCTTCGGGGAGGTGGGGGAGAGCCTGATGGAGATGGGGGAGCTGGTGGTCTCCCTGACCGAATGCTCTGCCCACGCTGCCTACCTGGCCGCAGTGGAGACTCCGGGGGCACAGCCTGCTATGCCTGGCTTGGTGGATCGCTACAAGGTGACCCGATGTAGGCATGAGGTGGAGCATGGCTGCGGGGTCTTGAAGACTACCCCTTTGGCAGATATGAGCCCTCAGCTCCTGCTGGAGGTTTCTCAGAACATGTCCAAGAACTTGAAATTCCTGACAGACGCCTGCGTGCTGGCCAGTGAGAAATCCAAGGATAAATTTGCTAAGGAGCAGTTCAAACTCAGTGTCAAATGTATGAGCACCAGCGCCTCTGCCCTCTTGGCGTGTGTCAAGGAGGTAAAGACTTCACCCAGCGAGCTGACCAGGAACCGATGCGTCTTGTTCAGTGGACCTTTGGTGCAGTCTGTCTATGCTCTGGTGGGCTTTGCCACTGAGCCCCAGTTTTTGGGTAAAGCTGCCACCATTAATCCGGAGGGCAAAGCTGTGCAAACTGCCATCCTAGGAGGAGCCATGAGTGTGGTATCTGCTTGTGTGCTCCTGACCCAATGCCTCAGGGATATAGCCCAACACCCCGAAAGTAGCACCAAAATGAGTGATTACAGGGAAAGGTTGAGGAACTCGGCTTGCGCTGTCTCAGATGGTTGCAACCTGTTATCTCAGGCACTAAGAGAAAGATCTTCACCCAGGACTTTACCGCCAGTGAACTCCAATTCTGTGAATTAACCCCCACATCTTCTGTTTAGATCCCAGTCATTTCTAAAGGAAAATAATATCCCACCTCCTCACCCCTTTTTTGTATACCAAAGAATTTGCTTGGATGAGCCCAATCCTTTGATTTCATGTGGTGAAGAAGCAGAACAGCATTTTCAAACTATACGTACTCGTAAAGGTAGCCGGTTTTGGCTTCTTTTTATTTCACTTTAAAGTCAAGCAAGTATCTGTAGATAAATTTTCCTTTATTCAGCCAGGTCTTCACACAAATGGTAATAACAACTGTTTAAAAGGTTTTTTTTATATTTGGGGAGGTGGGGGTATCTTAAAAAAAAAAAAAAAGAAAAAAAAAAGAAGCTTTAATCGCGCTGGGTGCGGTTTTTAAAGTTTGTCTTGTCTTGTCTTCCGAAATTTCCCTTCTAAATTTTTGTTGTGCAGGAAAAAGGTTACCTCAGTTCTCACTCATTTAAAAAAATGAAAAAAACCCAACAACACATAGATGATGGATGTAGCTACTATTTTGTTTGTTTTTGTTTTGTATGACTTTTTTTTTTTTTGCATCAAGTGTTAGGTTAGAAGTGCATTTGGTGTGTAGGAGTGGAAGGACTGGAGGTTGTGATTATGTTTTCCATGTGTTGATTTCCAAACTGGGGGAAAAGCTACTGTGAGTGTTTAAACAAACAAACAAAAAAAATTACACTATAACAAAAGTGATTTTTAATTTTTTTTTTTTTCCAATGTCAGTTTTTATCTTGCATGTACTGGAGTATTTATTTCATCTATTAAAATGTTATGTTTCTCAGATGTCTTTCTGTGAATCTCTTAATACTTGAATAATTGAACAACTAGGCCTGTTTGCATCGTAGGTCATTTTCCCCAGGGAATGGGTGGTACAAATGGAACCGTAGTTCTAGGCAGCAGCGTACAGGCTGCAATTCAGTTCTTTTATTTTCATAAATACTGTCCCTCCCGCAATACCCCCCCCTCCTCCTGAGGACGCCTCGGACAGGGATACTCTGTAGTTGTATTTATGGAAAGCTGGACAGGGCTGCGTGCGTTGGGATTGCTCTCGCTGGTGGCTGCTGCAGCGGGGCATAGCCTGGCTTTGTCTTTATCAGCACTCTGTGTTATCTTTGAGAAGTTTGTGTATTTTAACTCTTGCAGATGTTGTAGGCCATCTGTGTTAAATTTGTGAGTTTCCATATTAATTTATTAAGGATTTATTGAAAAACTTTAGCCCTGCTTGTTCTGTGTGTCTGCTCAGCAGTGTGAAGGTTTGCTGGAGCTGGCCTTTTGGCTCTTCAGAGGTTTGTGTAGGAGCTCCTCAGTACAGGTTTGTCAAAGTAGTTCTAGTCCAGTGTTGCAGGTAACAGGAAAAGTTGGCTAACTTTTGAGGCCCAGTCCACCCCCGGTTTAATTCCTTGGGAACTGTGAGTGGGCCTAAGGGAATACTGCAGTAGTTCCCATAACTGCAATGATGATATTTTTTCAGCCTGGTCTTTGTGGACCTGTGGGGTCAGTTGCCTTCTACATGTTCCATGAAAGGTAAATAGAAGAGTGGGTCTTCTGGCAAGGAGGCTTTATTTGTCTACCCAGCTCCATTGCAAAACTGCATTTTTTTTTTAGATAGGTTTGTAAATTGCACAATGTTGAAAGCTATTGGAAAATGCACCTTTAAAATGTTGTTCCCATCGTTTAAACCATTACTGTACAAGTACTGTCCTATTTATTCCTTTGAAGAGGTAAACCTTCTGGGTTTGGATATGGAACAGTCCTGGAGTAGTGAAAGGTCTTCCTGTTATAGCATTATTGTTTCTCTTGCACATGATGCTTTTAATTAATTTCAAAAGGGAGTAAAACATTACTGGGTAATGGATAAATATGTCCTGTCGTAGGAGATACAAACTAAGCTTATATACCCGTATCTTTAGGGTTAGGAAAAAAATAATTCTTTGACTTAAGTACAGTGGACTCCAGTATTAGGTTTGGTTTATTTTTAAATGAAGCTTTTCTGACTTCAGCCAGTTGTATGATTAGAACTTCTCTGTGAAAAATGAGTTCTCAAGCTGTGTTTCTTTGGAGTATGATTTTTCTCACTACGTTATCTCAGATGCAGTGTGACCCTACCAGTATGTGCTTGCAGAGGCATGGATGTCTGCATCTGTCCAGCATAGTATAAAAGTTCTCTCACTATTTTTTTTGTAAATAAATAAATATATACACGTGCTGTGCTAACTTTGACTTAGATGCCTCCACAGGTATTTGCTCACAGGCTCTCTCGCGTGTGCCTGCACAGATGTTTTCCCATCTGGATGGCAGGAACAGCTGTGGGACTCCAGAGGGATTCACATGAGGCCAAGGCCATCTTCAGGGAGGTCCCGTGCCTCTGGTGTTTGTGGTTGCCTGCTCGATTATCCTTTGTATCTCCCTCCCTTGTAGCATGTCTCTGTGGAAGCTGAGATACTGGCCCAGCGTTGCCTTGTTTTCTGCAGTTGTACTGAAGGGAAGGAGGAAAAAGGGATTGTAGCAAACATATTGTCTTTGTGGCTGCAGACAGGAGGTGAGGAACTGGCTCCACCCTTCCTTTGCATAGATCCTAGATGGTGCAGAACTTCGTGTGGGACGTGCGGAGAAGGTGCTGAGGAGGCTGCCGGGCAGTGCTGCTCAGGGAGGGGACAGGTACTAGGGTGGCATCCTTTAGTGCTGGTTCTTTTGAGTTACCGTGACCTACATTTGGGAGGCCTGCTTCCAGACATGAACCAGAGGGTTCTGAAGGGCAACTCTGCAGCACATCTGACAAAAAAAAAAAATATGTAATGTCCCGCTGGTTCTTTTGATGTTTCTACTTAATAATTTTTGGCGCTGCTGAACTAATTAGATTCTTTTTGATTCATTTATACATTATTGAGGTTATATGGATCACAGTGCAGCCTCCTTATTACCTCTGCATATGAAAAGCAATATATTATTAAGGGTGAGAGTGCCAAGTTTTGTTGTGGTAAGATTTTGTTTTAAGTGGTTTAGTGCAATTTTTATTTTAACAAGGATACTGCAGATTCTTCCCTCCTTTCTGATTATATTTGGAAGTGAAGTACATGCATACATATAAAAAGAAGTATGTATTTTCTTTTTCCTTTTTTAACACTGAAGGAAAACATACTGCTCTAGATCTTCCTTTGCTTTTGAGGTGTGTGGGTCTTATAAAGTAAATAATGAAATATAAGCAGGCCATGATTTTAGTTAAGAGGCTGATTGGAAAAAAAAACCAAACAAAAACAAAACAAAAAACCCCCACAAATAGTAAATTCACCAAAATAACTTGCTGTGACACTTTAAAATAATAGTAATTTTAACATGTCAAAATATTCAGTTATTTCTTTCCAGAGTAGAACTCGCACAAAGGGAACCCTGTGCTCCCTGGCCTCAGCTCAAGAGAGTATCTGTCAAAATCTGTGCTATTGATAAAATTAGGACAGCAAAGTTAAAAAAAAAGTCTTTTGATGCAAAAAAGTACAACTGTTTTTATGCACTCCAAGTAAATGATTAACAGGAAAAAATCTGTATATATATATATGCACATTGTAGCATTTTCTGAGCTGAAAAAGTGTCGTTCCACTACTAATTGTGAACATACATATATTTTAAATGCTGTAGTGCCACATTTATAAAGACTTCACATATATTGTAATAATTTATTTGGAATGTATTCCTAGAGAATATTAATTCTGATATAAGACATTGTTTCAGTAGGTATATTCATGTTGTTCATTTACTTTGTACTTTCTGAGACAGAAAGAAAATACATAACGGACTAGTTTTCAGGGTGCAATTGCAGGCTACATCAAGGTCACTGATTATTACTTGGCATCATACTTTAGATCCTTATTGCCCAAATACTTAAGCCATTTAGGTCAACAGGTAGTGTCACTATTTCAGCATAGGCTTAGACAAGCACAAGATGTGATTCTGATCTGGAACCTTGGTGATTTGACAAAAGAAAACTTCAGGGTACTTATATCACATGTGTCATAGATTTACTCTAATAGTGCATATAATAAAAGGGTTAACTTCTTTCTAAACACATTATGCAATGCACATTTGTAGCCAAAAATAACATTATCCCCACCAAAAGAGAATTAAGCTTATTTTTTAAATGTAAGAATTTTTTAACAGGGAAGAAGTTGTCACTTTTGTATTGTCTGTGAATTTGGCATTACCTTTTGGTTGCTGCTTCATCATAGTGAAGTTCATTATTGATGTAATACAGCAGCTGAGTCTAGGAATTTGAGATCAGAGCAATGTATTTTCTGATTCTAAAAAAAAAATAAAAAATAATAAGTTCTGTAAGACAACCAGTAAACTAGCAGCAAAATTCTATGGAAAAGCAAGTACACTATTTAAGGGAATTTTCAAATGTAAATCCATGTTATTTTTCAAAACTAAGAAAAAAAAGACCATGGGTCAGATAATTCCCTTCACTTTTTACCACAGGAAATGATCAAAGTAGCAGAAAATCTGCTCTTTTTGGCCAAACTTCTGTCAGAGACAGAAGGGGTCGAGCCAACACATGGTGTATGCAGCCTTGCAGCAAGAGGGGATGTGGCTGATGGGAAAGGAGGTGGAACCAGAGAAAATCTGTAGGGTAATACCTCCTAGTAAACCCACAGGAATTTTCCTATTCTAGATAAAGCAGAGGCTTGATCCAATAAAGCAAATCTCAAAACAACACAACCTTTCTTTCCAAGCTGTTAAGACACTTGTGAATGAAGATGTGGGGCTGGGAGCGTTTGGGGTGCTCTGCGTCGAGCAGCTGTATGGCTGTAGGGCACCAAGGGCCTCTAGGGTTGCCCTAAGATATACAAGAAGTACAGGCAAAAACATGTACCTGCCAGAACAGCGTGGTGGGAAATGAAGGGGTTGGGTTTTATTTTTTTTCTTTCTTCCCTATCAGGCTCTTTTTAGACTTTACAAGCAGAAGCAGATGGCAGGGACCAGTACATTTTACTTCTTTGTTCTTGCTGCCTGTGAAAGGTGCCAGATGGGCAGTGACAAAGATAGAAATTCTCTTCCTGTAGCCCAGGGGTAGCAAAAATGCAGAGCTTTGAGGCTGCCCTATCCTCACAGGATCACCACAACATGGGGTTTTTTGGGCCCACTGGTTTCACTCTTTGATTTTTTGCCAAGAAACTGACAGAAAATCCCAGTGGCAACTTGATAGGGGCATCAAGACCATTAAAATATTTCACATAGGACACCAAACCACCACCAGGATTGGATCATTCACAAACGGGCCAGAAAAATATACAGGCTGAGTATGAAGTGCAAGGCCAGATCCTTCATGTGAATAACTTGGAAAATTAAATACTGTGTACACTGAGAGGTGTTTATTTACTTGGGAATTAGGAATTATCAAAGTTTTTATATAAGAGTAGTTCAAAGATATATTTAACTAACATAATTAGCAGTAGTATTCTGAACCATTTTCTTAATGAAGATGGACATCTATAGACGTGAAGGGCCTCATCTATGACTCAATGAAGTCTGTGCAATTAAGCATTAATACTTTCCACAAACTGTGTTAAAATGTTAGAGGTCATCTTGTGTGAGGAAGGAGGAATTATATATTGATTTTCATTAATCTGAATCTTCTCCTAGAACTGTTTTTGTTATACTAGAGTCCTTTGAACTTAAGGGGTTTTTTGTTTTGTTTTTTTAAAACCACACAGTGTATGATGCTATATTCCGACAAAGTCAAAAGCAGCGTTTCAAGATTAATGCCGAGATTCCTGGGGTCTTTTGTCA